CTCCTCCTTTTCTCACCCTTCCTCTTCTCTTTTATTTATTCTCTATTTATTCTGTCAGCCTGAATCCCTGCCTATCCCCTTCTGCCTAGCTATTAGCTGTTCATCCTTTATTAGACCAGTTGGGTTTTGGACAGCTTCACAGAGTTAAACAAATGCAACATTAAAAAAAAATACAACACATCTTTGCATCATTAAACAAATGTTGTGGCTCACAACCATCTGTAATGAGATCAGACTGCAGGAATATATGCAGGCAGAACACTGTATATATAATAAATAAATAAATCTTTAAAAAAAATTACATAAAATTATCTGCATAGTTCTGTGGTTGAAAGTTTTTCAAGGTTTTTTATGCTCTGATTTGGAATATAGATAATGTCCTCTAAAGGTCCAGACACAAAGTCTTGGCCTACAGGTGGATGTATGGACCTTTTAAGATACAGAAACCTAGGGAGTCCTTGGAAGTTACATAGCCCCACCATCTGGTACTTTCTATTTCTCCTCCTTGGCTCATGAATGGTTTTCGCTACCATACACTCCTGTCATATGCTGTCCTTACCAAAGACTCAAAACAATGTGGCAGCCCTATTTGGACTAGAAACTCCAGAACCCTGAACCAAAATTCCACCTCATCTCTTTAAAGTTTAATATTCCAGGCATTTTGTTAAGTAGTGAAAAGCTGATTAATATAGCATGTATGGTTGTGAAGTTTTTTTTCTCTTCCTCTCAGTTATCATGAAGAATTATTTTTATTTTTCTTAATTAGTGGTAACTTTGTAAAAAATCAGTGACCTTTCCTTGAAGATGTGTGTCTTAGTTAGGGTTTCTATTGTGTAAAGAGATATCATGGCCATGACAACTCTTATAAAAGAAAAGATTTAACTGGGGCTGGGTTACAGTTTACAGGTTTAGCTCATTATCATTGTGGCAGGAAGCATGGTAGTATGCAGGCAGACATGGTGCTGGAGAAGTAACTGAGAGTTCTGCATCTGGATCAGCAGGAAGAGAGAATGATCCTGGACCTCACTTGAGCATCTGAAATCTCAAAGCCCACCCATCCCCAGTGACATACTTCCTCCAACAAAGCCACACCTCCTAACGGTACCATTTTAATTCAAACGACCAAGATATGTTTAAAAAAATAAGTTATTAAGTCAGAATAATTAATGGTTTTCAGACACTTAACACACATTGCCAAAGCCTTTCTCAAAAGCTTGGGTCTTCCTATATTCTCATCACTTCTGCTATCAGTTTAAAATGTTTTCAACAGAAACCAATAATTTCAATTAAAATTTTGTCTTTCTAGTCAGATGAAGAATTCACTTTTTGTATACTAAAATATAAACTTATAATTATCATCAATTTATGTATCATTGAAAATTAGTTCAACTTCAGCTGATGCCAAACTGAAAAAGCCATTGTGCTGAGGGCTTTATAATACTATTTTTCATTTCTGTATCCCGTTAAATTGTACAAAGCCTGGCACACAGCAGGCCTGAACTAAATCTTAAACTTCATTATTTGTGTAATTTCAATTACTGCAAATCTGAAATATCTTATAAATGGAGAAGTTTAATGTTTATGTAATTTGATTCTTTTGTTGGATGTTATTTCAGAACGACAACTTTGATAGTCGATCACTGTGGTAACAACCATAATATTAGTTCTGTCTTCCTACTAAATGTAATGAAGCACTGAGAAAACTGCTTTTGCTTTTTCTATCGTGATATCAAGCTATAAATTTTAGGCCTTCTCTAAAAGGAATGGTGAGCCACTGGGTTCCAAGGAGTAACGTATAATAGAATCAAGATTTTAGAGAAATGATTTTGACAATTTAGGGAATTATACTCTCTTTTGGCAGAAATAAAGCCAATATATCTTTAGCATATGTTTATTTTAATTGTGATTCTAAAACTGAATACCATTATATATTGAGTAAGACCTTTTGTACTATCGCTGCAAAACAACAGCCTGAAATCAACACAAAACAACATTCAATTGTGAAATTAGTTTTCTGTGGATGCTATGGCAAAACAGTTCAAACTGCTGAAAAAGATAGAAGTTGATTTTGTCACAATCCCAAAGAATATATGAAAGTATCCATAGGTTTGTCTCTTCTTGAGGTCTCTTGGTTGAGAACATCAGTCTTCCGTGTCTTCATGGAGTCTTTTCTCTGTTCACCTACATCCCTGGTGTGCCCCTATGTTTATGAGGACTTTGCCATATTAGATTAGGTTGCAGCATATTATCTCTTTTGATCATTATTACCTCCTTAATTAAAGTCCTTCAGCTGGGTGTGTCAGTAGCTGCCACCTTTAATCCCAGCACTCGGGAGGCAGAGTTTAGCCTGATCTACAGAGCAAGTTCAGGGACAGCCAGGGCTACACAGAGAAACCCTAAAAAAAAAAAAAGCCCTCAATTTGAATACAGTCACATTCTGAGGTATACTGCTGACTAGGATTTCAATGTATGAATTTGGAAGGACACAATTTGGTTCACAACATTTACAAATAAATCCATGTGGTTCTCATATCATCTCTAGGGCACACTTTTCTAGTTATTTTTCAGCAGTTGGGCTGATTAAATATTGACCCTTACTTTTTATCTTACGATCCATAGCTATTAAGTAGCTATTACGGTAGGATAGTCATCTCAGAGTGATACTGAAAAATAAAACTTAAAAACTTAGGTTAACACCAAAGTGAAGACCTTCCCACAGAGAGTTAATATCCCGGGTGCTCAGATCCAGTTCTTGTTCTTGGTGGAGTCAAAAATCAGTTCCAAGGGAAATATTGTGACCCATTGTATACAGTAGAAAACTAAAATTCAGGATTTAAGGAACTTACAAGATCATGTGGGCAAGAATTGGAATCACTGGGATTCGAAAGAAGTCATTGTCAACAACAGAGGTCACATGCCTAGCTGGTTTTTTTTTTTTTATTATTTACTTCATCCCTAAACAGCACTGAGGAGAGTTTAGTGAACCATAAGAGTCCAGGAAATTGACTTTTTAAAGTTATTTCTCTCCTCTCTCTCTCTCTCTCTCTCTCTCTCTCTCTCTCTCTCTCTCTCTCTCTCTCTGTCTCTCTCTCTCTCTCTCTCTCTCTCTCTCTCTCTCTCTCTCTCTGTGTGTGTGTGTCTATTTCTTCACATGTACATATACAAGTTCTCATATATGCATCCATGCCACTGCATATATGAAGAGGTGAGACAACTTTTGTGAGTTGACTCTTTTTATCTAAGGTAGGTTCAGGAGATCTGTGGTATTTTGAATGAGAATGGACCCCAAATGGCTCATATATTTCAATGCTTGGTCCCCAGTTTAAGGGACCATTTGGAAAAGATTAGGAGGTATAGCTTTGTTGGAGAAAGTTTGTCACTGGGGGTGGATTTTGATTTCTATGCCACTTCCTACTTAGCTCTCCTTCTACCTCATGCTTGTGGATAAAGATGTCAGGTGTCAGCCACTGCTCCAACACCATGCCTGCCTGCCTGCTGCCATGTTCCGTATCTTGGTGGCCATGGATTCTAACAGTCTGGGATCATGAATCCCAAATTAAATGCTCTCTTTTATAGGTTGTCTTGGTCAGACTGCCTTATCATAGCAACAGGGAAGCAACTAAGGCAGGATCTACCTTAGGTTGTCAGACTTTCAGCTGCTGAGTCATCTCAAAAGCCCCAGGGAATTGATTTCTCAGTTAACACTGTAATAACTCTATAGCTTAGGTGAAGAAATCTGCAATTTCCATACCTCATGTCCTCCTTAGTTAGATATACCATAGTCTGGGACTTGGAGTTTTAAGAGAATTCCCCAAATCTCTGTGTCTCTTTTTCTTCAACTAAAACCAAGAAAAATACTGTGGCTGTGATTTTAAGACAATTTGTCCTCCCTGAAGCACATGTTGAATTTAATTCCTTGTATGTAATATTAAGAGGTAAGAGCAAATGGGATCTTTTTGTTTTTGTTTTTTTGAGACAGGGTTTCTCTGAGAAACAGTCCTGGCTGTCCTGGAACTCACTCTGTAGACCAGACTGGCCTTGAACCCCCAGAGATCCACCTGCCCTACCTCCCAAGTGCTGGGGTTAAAGGAGTGTACCACCACCATGTGGTGACCATAAATAGTATCTTTAAAGGCCAGTTTGGGAGCTGCTTTCATGAGTGGGTTGGAGCTATTCATTAGATCAACAGATTCATAGGTATATGTGTTATCACAGGAAAATCCTGCCCTATGCTTAGGTCTCTCTTGACATGTGAGGTCCAGCAAGACTTTCACCAGAGGTCAAAATGGAAATGGCAGTCACCTGAATATTTAGAGAGAATATGATCATATGTATGTTATACCTTTCTCCACAAAACAATAATACATTTAAAAACAGAATCATACTGCCACATTTATAGTCTTCACTATAATTTTAGAATTCCCCAGTTCCAATGAGGTGCTAGGCCATTTCCTCTGCAAAACACAGGCATTTGATGGGGTAGTATTGCACATGTAAATCTCTGAGATGTTTTCTTCATGAACCAGAATTTAGCACTACCATGTTCAAAATTATTTGAACATGACAACTTCCAGGAAAAAACCTAATTTTTACTAAACCAATATCAGATATAACATAATAGTCTTTCTATTCTCTCTCTCTCTCAAAAAAAAAAGAACTGATGTTTTGGCCATAATATCAATGCAGTTGTAGTGACATTTTCACAGTTTGTGTCTCTGTTGAGAATAGGTTAGAAAGTGTTTTTCTGATAATCAGTTAGTGAGTCCCTGAAAAGATACTATGGAAAGCCAAGCAGGTTACTGCTTCCCATCAGGATGGACGAACTTGATGGCAGAGAAAGAGGGGGAGGAAGAGGGAGATAGAGAGACATACACACACACACACACACACACACACACACACACACACACACACACACAGAGAGAGAGAGAGAGAGAGTGAGAGAGAGAGAGAGAGGAAAGACAGACAGACTTACTTCGAGGAATGAGAGAACCACAAACTTTGGTTTTGCAGAATTTAATATTTTCAAAAAAGACAGAAAATATAAAAGTTATCAAAAATGTGAGCATTCATTTTGGGGGGAAAGTAGTAGGATTGAAACTTGCAACTGATTTCTGGTAAAGAATCAGAACCACAGCAGCTATAGCTGTCCTGTATAAAGCCCTCTTATAGAAAGTCAGGAATAGGATGGATGGGAAACACACACGTCACGCACTGCAGCTTCCAGAGGTCCAAAGGGAGCATCATTTTGCATGCTTAGATTCTACTTCTTCAAGAATCCACTCAATGCCATTCAAAAAACCAGTCAGAGTTTCAGCCTCCATATCCTGAACCTGTGAGTGGGTGAAAGAGGATACTGTCAGTTCAAACCAGAATCCTAGGATGAGTGGCATTTCACTAGACATCATTTTTTAAGAGCTAAAATAAAATAACCAGACTAAAATATGAGTAAATTTTTCAAGTATGATCATTGGAAATAATCATGTAAATAAGTCATATTGTCTTATGTCTTCTAATCACGTCAGTGTTAGTCTGATTTCCTGGAACTCAGCTCTAGAAATGGGAGACAGGCTTCTTGTGCATCCTGGAGACAAATTCTCCAGAGGATCCACTTTAAAAAGTAAAACACAGCCTGACGGTGGTGGCGCACACCTTTAATCCCACCACTGGGGAGGCAGAGGCAGGCAGATCCCTGTGAGTTCGAGAACAGCCTAGTCTACAAGAGCTGGTTCCAGGACAGCCTCCAAAGCCACAGAGAAACCCTGTCTTGAAAAACAAAAAAAAACAAAACAAAACGAAACAAAAAGGAAAACACTTTTTAATGACCCTGACCATCCAACTAATAAATGTGACATACTGCCATACTGCATACTGCACAGCTGACCAGAGCTGAATGGACATAAGAGATATTTAGAGAACACTTTATCTAGCTGCAGAATATACACTTTTTTCATGATAGATTGGAACATTCTCTATAATAGACATTATTTTAGACTACAGAATCTTCACCAACAGTAACAATGAAGTAAAAAAAAATATGCATTTTATGGCTAAAGGCAGAATAAAATTAGAAATAACAACAACAAAAAGCTAGAAATGGACAAATGCATAGACTTAACATGCCACTGAACAATGGGCCATTGGATAAGTGAGAAAGACAAATAAGAATGGGAAACAATGTACCAAACATATGAGATATAGCAAACATAGTACAAAAAGGCAAGTTAGAGCAATAAATACCTACATTAAAACACACCACACACACACACACACACACACACACACACACACACACCACACAATTTCAGGGGTAGGGTCATATTTTGGGCTCAAGCCCCAGTAGATAAATAAGATTTCAAGTAAACTTGCTAATGATGTATTGCAGAGGTTAAGGGAGATCAGAGCAAAACAAACACCATAGTATGAGATGGAAAGAAAAACCAAGAAATAAATGAAACAATGATTTGAAAGCTACAAAAGATAAATAGTTGGTTTTCTGAATTTTAAATAAAATCAACACACCTTTATCTGGATTGGGAAAAAAAGAAAGATTTTTAGCTCCAGCACTTGGGAGGCATAGGCAGAGGCAGGTGGATCTCTGTGAGTTCAAGACAAGCCTGATCTACATTGCAAGTACCCAGAATAACCAGAGCTACATAGAGAGACTCTGTCTCAAAAGTAATAATAATAATAAATTTTAAAAGATGAAAATAAAAAATAATAGGCCAATAGAGACTATTACAAACATTTATCTATGGGGTTTCATTTCATCTATCTTTTAAAAATATTTCATTATTCAAATAAAATTTATAACACAGACCTTCAAGATGTACATTTTCAGTGGTGTTGGGGACCAAACTCTTGGTCTACCCTGCATATTGGGTAGGTACTTCACCACTGAGCAACATTCTCAGCCCCTATGGCCTGTATTTTTACACAAGAAATGCTACTCATCTTAAGATTCTTAAAGCACACACATTGGTGCTGAGAAAACCACCCCCAGTTACTGTCTTACTGTTCCTACAACAGGAGGGGCAACTAGGGAATAGATAACCAATCCAAAATATTACCACCCATCAATCAAGGCCTTGAAATTCACTTGAGTGGTAGTTCATTTCGAAAATGAATGCTATCATTCTGATTAGTGTTCCCAAAGTTCTCTGTATCAGAGCCTTGACCCCCACCCCTGATGCTGTTAGGGAGTGGCAAAACTTTCAAGAACTGGTGACTCCTGGGAGACCACTTGGGATGTTCCTTGAAGGTCATACTGGGATCTCAGCCCCTTCCTCTTTTCTCTTCCTCTTTTGTTCCAAGACAAAAGTGTTTCCTCTACCCTGTGTTCATAGTATGAGGATCTGCCGTGCCACAGGTTCAAAATCAAGAGGATCAACTGATCATGAAGTCAGGCATTAAAAACTGAGAGAAAATATGCCTTTTTTCTTTTTAAGTTATTGTCTTAGCTATTTTGTTGCAATAAAAAAAGCTTACACACATACAAGCAAATATACATATGCACATGTATAAATAAATAAATACAATAGAAAGTACACTAAAAATAAATTCTTTGTCACCAGAGCAGTTAGGACCTTACCATCCATGGGTGGTTTAGAAGGTTGAGACGCAGTTCGTGAGCTAAATAAAAACAGGGCATTCTTTTTACATCTGCTTGAGAAATACAAGATAAAACCAGCATTGGTCTTCCTGAAGATCCAAAAGCTGGATCTGTCATGGCCATGATACGAGAAAATTCATCTTGCCATTCATGTCCTAAGGAATTAAAGTTAAAATATGTAATTTGCATTACTTACAATTACTCTAAAAATAATTATATTAAAAACAACACACAAAGAAATTAAAATTTTTACCAGCATTTAAACACAATAAACAGATTTTATTGCTGAGATTTATTTATTGTTCTGCCACAAAATTGTATTAAACTGCCTTTCAAAGATAGAAACTTTGATGACGCCATAAAGAAATACAGTCACAATAACATTCAGGTGTCCTGATTGTTTAAAGTAACTGTCTATGACACAAAAATTCTCTTACACATTCAGCAACTATCTGATTACCCTTTCACTCAAAGGTCTTACTTCTGCCATCTGGTCATAAAATTGGGTCTAATTTTTTTCATGCAGATCTTCTACCTCTGCCTTTTTACTTGAGGGTCCAGATCACAGATAGCATGTAGTTAACAAAAATCCCATGCTACTCCCCTCTATCAGCCTGCTGAGAAGCTTGAAGTACAGGCACAAGCCACTGTTTCTTTTTCTGTCTCAGAACTTTTAGATTTAATCTAGGCATTTTATTTAGAAAAGCAGTTAGAGGCTAGGGTAAAGAGGACTAACTATAAAAAAAAAAAAAAAAGGACCAACTATTAGAAGCAGGCATGTTCCTTTAACTGTTGGGCCACTAACACATTGGTTCAAGTCAAACTAGTCTGTTGTTGGTGGATTTGGCTTCAATTGCCATTGATAATGTCAACCGAGAGAATTCAAAATCTCTCCACAGTTGGGTATGATAGATCACATTTGTAATGCCAGCAATAAGGAGGATGAGGCAGAATAAATGCCCTAAGTTCAAGGCCATCATAGGCTCCATAGTGAGGTCCAGGCTCAATTTTTACACACTAGCTTCACTCTTAGGATGGTGTGCCCCTTGGCACAAATAGTGGAAGCAGTCCTGGTGTGACTACTGAATTCTGCCCTGTCCTGGTAGAAAGGTCTTCTGTGAAAACATCCTTCCCCTCCACAGAATCAGAAAACAAAGGAGTACTTGCTACAAACTCCATTCCTACCTGTGCTCAGGCAAAGAGCCTTTGTTTCTACCCTTCTCTCAGGAGCAGTCGGTCGCTGCCAGAATTAGAGGGTGGCTGTGGGAGGGAGGGGGATTGCTCATTCTATCGATGTTGACAGAAATGTTTGGCTTCATGTGAGAAAACGATATAGAAAACAGGGCCTCTCTCACCTGTGTGGCAGCTGATCAACACATGCCCCTTTCACAAAGGACCCGAAGGTCTCCTGTCCTACCACTGAATTTTCAATGAAAATCTAGCTCTGCTAATAAAAAAAAAATCAGTAAGTAGATATAGATTATTTTTGTATCCTATGTTTTATTTATTTATTTATTATTGGTTATTTATTTATTTTATCTATCATGCTTGGGATCAAGTCTGAGGCCTCAGTTTTGAACTAGGATAATACCCTACTTTTTCTACCTATTTTACAAGAGGCTATTGGGACCAATCTGGAAGACTAGATAAAAATGAGTTCTCTATAAATTTTAGCTCTCAGTCATATCTCCACCAGCAAATACACTGTCTGACCTCTATAATTATTGGTAACTCACCGTTTGCTGAACAAATCAATCTACTTTTTATTTTGCTTCTAATCTCTCATTTTATAGTCTTAGAATAACAATAATTTATCATTTTTGATAAATAATTTATCCAGGATTTCTAAGTATAATTGCCTCCAGGAATTAACAGATAGGTAGAGAAATAAATTCACTGTAAATGAAAATCAACACACTAAATAACTATGATATATGTATCATGTATACATTATGTATAAGCAATATGTATAATAGACCATTTATTATATATTTATATTCTATCTTGTACACAAAGGATTGGCAGGAATTATAATACAGGTTCATGGTCCAATGATATAGCAATGTCATACCAAAACAATATTGTCAGCTACAATTAGAGTATATGGAGAGTATTATCAACCCACTGATTTAATTAACTTTAATCTACTCAACTAAAATCCTATCCCCACACCTCTCTACAGTATGGAAAAAATAAACCAATACATTTTCATTTATCTACATAAATTATTTAAATATATCAGAGGCAGAGAAAGCATCAGTAATTTTAAAATGTAGACCATACAAAAAATATGGCTATAGGATCAAGCTTAGGCAAGTATCAGGACTCTAGGGCACTTAAAAAAACCAGATGTCCAGGACAACAGGCCACATCAATGAATCACAATATGGCATGCCAGGAAGTTCCCATGTAGTTCTAACATACAACAAGTTTTGAAAATACTAGTGACAATAATGCCAGAAGATAACAGCGGTAAAATCTAACTGTTGTATTATTTTGGTGCTGTAGCCATATGATTATTTTGCAAAGAATGACGTAGTAGCACCTGGAGGAAGTGATAAAAGAATTCTTACGTTTATGAGCTTCGGCATTTGCCACATAGATGAAGCCATCGACAACTTCACACACCTTCTGAATCTGTGGAATTACACTGTAGCGGCTTCCTTGCTGCTCATCTCCTTCCCGCTGTAGGCTGAACATCTTGTTAACTGTACTTGTGTGCTCTTCCCTTGCTCTGTCTCTTTCCTTTCTGAAAGAAAAAAAGTACAAGCATGCATAAGCAAAAGACATTAAACAGGTTCCAGCCCACTAAAATGTTCCACTGTTGATGTTTCAGGCAACCCACTGAGTAGGCAGCCTTACCTGGTAGTCGAATATAATATCAGGATGTTGAATTTATGTTGATTGTTCAACTGGAAATTGACTCCAGATCCAATACCTACATGAGAAAGTCAATTATACAAACAGGCCAATAATAAAAATCATTTAAAAAATTCCACCGAAAAATTATGCAGTGAAATCAAAAAGGGCAAAGGGAAAAAATAGCAAGTTACATGCAACTTTGGAATAAAATGCAATGCTTGTGATGAAGAACAATAAAGTTGTGTGAACTTTGTTTGATTCACAAGGTGGCACAAACACAGAGAACTAAGTACAGCTTGGCTCTTCAGTCTTCAGTCATCATTACAAACACTACAGTAGCAGCTGAGGCACAGCAACTACTTCTACTTATCCTCAAAGTTGATTCCTTTCCATATCTTATGCTTCCATTGGTCTTATAATGCATGTATATATTCAGTGAGGGCCCCTTCTTCCCCTAGGCAAAACTGTTTATAAACATGCAGTGTGGCATTAGAAATGCCTTAGAAATTGAGCCAGAGCTACAGATGCTGAAATTTGGAATTGGATGTGGGTTAAAATCCTGTTTGCCATGACAGTCACTTACTTGTGAGACTGTTTTGACACAAAAATGAAATAATCTATACTTCTTAGTGGTTGCTTTGAGGACTGCCTTCGATCTAATATGTGATACCTGTAGGTTGCTAAATATTGCCTCCTTACTGCTTTGTGTCTGAGTCACCCAACACTGTCGATGTCCCTTCTTGGCCTCTTCTGTCTTGGTGGTGGTGGTGGTGGCAGTGGTGGTTTTGTTAATGATCAATGTCTTTTTTGGCTCCTAGAAGCATCCTTGATTCCATAGTTCAAGTTCTTGCCTTACAAATATCCCCTCAGGTCTGTCCACTTCTCTCCATGGCCATTCTCCTTTTAGTACAAATTAACAACCTGCAATTTCTTCTAACCAGTCCCCGAACTAGCCTTTCTTGTGGTAGCACATACACTGTTTAATGATACATATCTAAGTGTTTCTCTTCTCTACAAAGCCATGGGCTTCCAGATTTACAAACAAATGAATATAGTCTGACCCCACTTAACTCATTAGAGATAACTCTAACCTTTCATTTCCTTAATTCTTGAATTCCACTTAACTAAGCTATGCCATGTCATCTTATGTCATCATTCTAAGCATCGCATGGATAGATTTGGACTTGCAGGTACTAAAACTCTGTCTCAAACCACATGATCCTCTACTCCTCCAGCCATGATATTCTACAAAAAGCACATGGAAAGAGAACCAAAGGTTCTTTGTTTAAATCAGTTTAATTTCCAGAAATTATCCTTTCAACACATCTAACCTGAGCCCAACTTGTTAAGCAACCCATATTCTTCTCTGGCCTTGTAGACTGACATTTTCAGGCAATCACGTCAGTCTCACATAAGGATAATATAACTATCAAATTATAAATATAATTATCAAATTTCCTCATATAGTTTGGCTTTTCTGAAGCTTTGCTTCTGCTCTGAGGCCTTGCCTGGCCTGCCTTATGTAATACTTGTCTTGCCATGGATACTCAGTTATCAGAATTGCTTATTTCTTCATACCTACAGTGAAGAAGTGGACTGATCTCTCTACATCCAATGACTTGCTTAATCTTTTCTCGAGAACCGTCTGGAACAGTTCCGTTTGAAAAACACACCATTCAGCTGGAGAGCAGTCGCTCAGTCCTCAACTTTGTCATCCATGGTCGTCCCTTCCCCCACAGCAGACTTCAGCATGCAGCTCACTGTCTTTCTTTCCATCTTCCTAAACTTCCAAGTCCATGTGAACCTGAACTGCTTATGACTCCCAAATGTTAAATTCTCTTCTCTTGGTCTTCGGATCTGGACACATAATCTGTAAGTCATTCATTAAATGTATGTGTAATACTTACTCTTCTACTGCTGCAACAAAACACCATGACCAAGGCAACTTATAAAAGAAAGCACTTTGGGAGCTCATAATTCCAAAGGGTCAGAATCTGTGAATACCATGGCAATGATCATAGCAACAGGAAGGCAGTAGCTGAGAGCTTACAGCTGAGCTGCAAGCACAAGACGGAGGGCTAACTGGAAATGGTTCGTGAGCTTTTGAAACCTCAAAGCCCTCCCTCACTGGTGTACCTCCTCTAAAAAGACCACCCCTCTTAATCCTTACCAAACAGTTCTACCAAACGGGAGCCAAGTATTTAAATATATGAGCTTATGTAGGCCATTCTTGTTCAAACCACCATAGTGTGGAACCTATGATGTGTCCAGCATTATAGATACAAGTAAAAATAAAACTGACAAGATCCCTAGGTCCTGCCACCAAAATAAATAAATAACCACAAAAAATCATTCTCCTCTGGTGATTCCTTAACCAAGTGAATGACTTTAAACCCATAGGGCAAAATCTGCTACCCTTATTACATAATCATCATTAATTTCATCAATTTACATCTGCAATATTCACTTCTTTTTTCATCCAGTGAACCCTTTCATGTATGTGGGGTTTTTTTTATCATAGATTATAGCAGATTCTTTAGGCCCTTTTAATTAGTTTTTACTCAGGAGCCAGAATAAACTTTCTAAAATGAAATCTTGATCCTCTTAATCCTTTGACAAAATTCCTTCAACAGCTCCCACATAATTTTATGCATCCCATGTGTTGTTGTTATTTACCTAACTCTGTTCTTTCTACATTTATAGATACTTCAACTGAGTCCTAAACATTCAGAATTTTGTGCTTTTGTTCTTCTTGTTTTAAGGAAATGCAGCTACTAATACTGAGGAGTCTTAGCTGGCATCATCTTCAATGTGTAGTTTTCTTTGATATCTTTCTATTCAGAAATTCACTGATCATATTTTAATTACCTAAATACTTGTTCCTGTCCTCACTTGGAGCCATTGTCTTCGTGCAAGACCAAGATTTGTTCTAAATCTCTGTATCTATGCCATTTAATGAGTAAAGTGTATCTTACATTGTATCTGTACTCTTGTTTATGACACCAAAATGCCATGTGCTGTTTTGTTTCTTTTTGTTTTCTTTTGTAGAGGGGAGGTGATAATATAGTTCTTTTTAAAAAAAAAACCCAACATATATAAAAATAATTTGCAAATAGAGGTTCAATGGTTTTTTTCTTGGTAAGTTTTTCTTATGGTAGACATGATATGGACTGTTGAAATACAATGATTTATTTTAATGTATTAAATTCTAAGTTATACAAATTTGAGAAATTAAGAAAAAATGTACTTCTTATATTAATTTTTTCTCATTTAGTGGGACCAGGGAGCCCATCCACCAATTTCAATATTTCATTACAGGATTTAATTTTAAAAAGCCTGACTCTTTAACACTAATGTCAAGCTCCTAGTATTAGAATTTCTATGTATTATATATTATCATGAAAATTACCATCAATCTGTCTATGAGGCAAACCAGCAGTTGGGGAAAGTTCCTCAGAAGACATCAAACTCAACACCAAAGATGTGTTCAATTCTTCCAAACCTGGTCCAAACATAGCAAATCGGGGTTCATTCTGAATGATCAATGAATGTAAGAAAGAAGTAACAGCTCCATACATAGGACGGCTGGCTTTCAAGGCTCTTCTCGTATATGGACAGCACGTTTTATAACTGCATAAAATTGTCACAATTAGAAAATAAGATAGAAAACATTTAACTTGTTGTTCATTTGAGAATATGTATTTATTGAGTCCTTGCACGTCACAGTAACATATAGTTCCAACCCTCCCAGACAGTTGATAATAGACACCATTTAACATGTATGCAGAGTTCCATGCAAAGAAAAACATGAAGTGCTAGAGAGAGGAAGTGATCATGAAGCTGCAGAAACCTCCTCAAGGAAGATGTTATTTGCCTTTTTTATTTAGTTTCTTTCATGTAACACTAATATTTGTTTGGATAGTTGAAACTAATTACATAGAATAGTAACTCTTCTCTTCCTGAGCAATGCTATTTTCATATCTTGGGAAGAGGATACTGTGATACCAGCATCAACTTAACAGAACCAGAGATGTTACCATAGCATCTTACAATTTCCAGGATAGTCCCCTACAACTTCACCAAAATGTCAATAATGTAAAGACTGAGAATCCCCATAAAAAAGATAGACTACAGATACTCAGCATTAAATCCCACAAATTTTAAAGTATTACTAAAGCCACTAATATCAAACTTTTTAAACACTCCTTTAATAGTCTCCAATGCAATAGTCCTTTCAAAATATTAAATAAATGCACAGGGAGGCCCAAATATACCACACTGAAAATTAGCAAAATAAAAGCTATGTGAAAGACACTATAATGGCTCGGCAGGTCAATGTGGCCAAGCCTGAGGAGCTGAGTTTGATCCCAGGGACCCATATGATGGAAAGAGAGAATGGACTTCAAAAGGATGTCCTCTGACCTCCATATATACCATGGCATGTGTGTGTCCACCCCCCGACACACACACAATAAATAAGAGTAATTAAAAAATATGTCATTTGAGATTATCATAAAGGTCATGGTACATTTTGATCTTGTCATCCCATATTACCTGACATAATAGCATCTGAATTAGAAAGGCTGAGTAACAAATGAAATGTAGGTGCAAAATCCTACAGGTAGCTACTGAATCTAACATCATACAACAATCGGGAAGAAGGTCAAGGATTCTTTTAATTTTTTTATTATGCTTTAAATGTGGGGTTCACAATAAAGCAGGCTTTACCTAAAGTGACATATCCTGAGGGAACATGATAACATTGAACAATCCCTTATATGTTATGCCATACACAAAACATAACTGTTCTCAACCTCTACATCCTTAACATGAAGATAATATCTCTACTTTGAACAAGGATAGAAGGAGTAAACATACACGGAGCAGATCCCCACAGAATCCATTATGTAGCATTTGCTCAATAAACTTGATTTTCTCATGTACACAATACTCAAGAAACATTGAGGCTTTGAGGTATAATAATAAGATCTTATTTCTTGAAGTCTGAAAAATTATTTTCTCCCCTGCCAAAAGGAATTGTTTTCTAATCCCCTACATTCCTTCTCTGATTACAAAAAGGCATTTACAATTTAACAAAACAAAACAAAAAAATATTAGAAAGATTGGGAGAATTTTAAGAAATGTCTTCTTTCTTGCCAAATGTACCACAAATAATTAATTGAAAACTGGTTAGTCATCACAGGAAAATGCAAAAGGTTAAAGCTGTAAGGGTCTTATGAGAAAAGTCAATTAGCTGAATCCATAATTGTATCAAGGGGGCATTCAGACAAATTCCGTGCAACAAATTAATAGCAGGGTGAGAACTAATGTGGGCTATTTAGTGTAAAATTTAGTATCTCTTGTTAATTCACAGAAATTAATACTTACACCTCCATGTAATCAAAACGCGTGCTGTCGGTGACCTCAGATATGGGCTTTTTTAAGATCTCTAGATCCGGAAGTGACTTCCAATCAACAGAAGACCAAGAAGGGAGATCCCGCAGCAGAAAATATCTCCAGAGAATTGGGTCTCTTACGGTTTCATTCCAGTAACGATTTGTACTTCCCAACTGGCACAGATCATGGGGTGAAAGAAATGACAAAATATACAGCTGTACATCGATCTGAAACAGGCAAGTAACACATAAGAAAAGTGAGCAATTTGTCTTGGAAGACTGTGGCAACTTAGATAATCAACAAAGAATTGCTATACTAAAGACCAACTGAATGGGTCATTCTTTCTACTATTTAAATCCATTTTATTTTTCTTTCATCCAGAGAAAAATAGAAACTCAACATTTTAATTCCTACCACATATGAAACGTTCTTCAAAGCCCCAAGGCTTCGTCTTCCTATTTTTCAAGCAAAATAACCACTTCCTTATTTTTCTTCCCTTGGGTATTTTGATATAGCAGATAATTAATAATTTCTTCCTCAAAATAAATGTGCATCGAGTGGAAATTTTTCTGATTTTATCACTAGATCAAATGAAAGCGTGTGAATCTGTCATCTGAATTTCTCTAGTCTATTAACCTGTTTCAAGGGATACAGGCAAGAAACGTGTGTGTGTGGGGGGGGATCATTAAGGAATGAATATCAGTGGGACGTACCAATAATTCAGCTGAGATAAAAGAAATGTAATAATCAACAATGGGTAATCTCTTCATTTTCTGATCTTTCTCTGAAACTTTAAATAACATGCACTCTCTTTGTGACCTGTTCTAACTTGAGGCCCTGGTAACTTTGCTTATTTCCAATTACATGGCAGTTTTGTTGTTTAGTATATAGCAAACTTGCTTGCTCCAGGCAACCTCCTAACTGGAATATACTGAGCCTGGGCCTGAAGATAAAATGTGCAGAACAGAGACAATGGAATGCTTTCCCGATCTAGCCCATTTCCTTAACCAGATTCCCGGATAATCCTATTTGGACGACTGGCAGTCTGTGGGAGAACTCGGTGGTCACTAGTGTCTTGTCTGGCTGGAGGCCACCAAGAGTCAACGTCCAGGCGACTGTGGCTGCTGCCCCTCAGGGCGAGCACACAGCCGGAAGTGGCAGCCGGGCGGCCCCTCTGCGCGGCCTGCGGTCTGGGCTGGCTCACCGGCAGCCGCCTCAGCGCGCTGGTGTCCTCCTCCGCCTCCTCCTGGGAGACCGTCCGCGTCGCCCGCTCTTTGCCCACCGAATGCCAGAAGGTCCTCCAGCCGCTCAGGATGGCGGCCTCCAGGCGGCTCCCGCCCCCGGCCGGCGGCCGGGCGCCCGCCCTCCCCCGCCCCCCTCCCCCCCCCGCCCCCCCCCCCGGCCTCCCTGCCCCCCCGCCCTCCGTCCCCCCCTCCCCCTGCCGTGCTGGGCCGAGCCGGGCTGGCCTACTGGGCGCGGTTCCGGGCCGAGATTCGCGCCAACCATCGCTCACCCACTCACGGGTGCTGGCCATCGCAGCCAGCAAACTCACCACTGCCGGAAACCCTCTGGCCCCGGAATGACTGCCCCCCACCCTGTGTCCCTTACCCCAGACTATTGTCCTCTCTGTCCCTGGCTCTGTTCACTTCAAGGACCTAGGAGCGATGGCTTGTTGAATAACCCCCTTTTCTGTGATCTTGGTCCTAATTACACTTGCTTCCCCTTAAGAATTAGGTGTAAGCCTGCTGTGTGTGTGTGCATCTGTGTTCTGGGGTCACCTATCTACCGCTTTCTTGGAGTTTAGTAAAAACTAAGCCTATGGAGACTAAGGAATCCGTGGAACTCAAGTTCTCCATGAAGCCACATCTGTGTTAAAGATATTGCAGGATGTGTGGCACTGGCTCACTCGCACATCCTGCTTTGGAGAACGAGAAGGTATTGTAGATGAAGAGCCAAAACTGACTCAAGCACTGTCCTTTTAATAGCTCTTTACCTTCAATCTCTGCATTTGGTCTAACTTCATCAGGAATATTAGGTAAAACTTGTGGTTAGTAAGCTTAGCAAACACCCAGTGTTTATAAATGTTCTAAGATTTATTTTAACTATATATATGTGGGTATTTGCATGAACATGCAGGTTCCTGCAGAGGCCAGGGCACACATTGCCTAGGGCTGGAATTACACAAAGTTGCTCCACCCACTCAGGTCTTCTGTAAGAAGAGTGCATGCTCTTAACTGCTGAACCATCATCTCTCCAGCCCCCTTTACTTAAATAATGTAACATTTAAAACTCAGAGAAGATTCATCCAGTTTGATCTAGGCTGTCTACATAATGCCTCCATCAGGGCAGGTGGTGAATGTCTTTGATTTATGGCCTTTGCTATTTTGCCTCAAAAAAGCACCCAATCATTGGGTATTTTATACCAAAATGGTGAGTTTAGGCCTACTACAAAAATTTAACTACACTAAAAAATTGTTCAATGATCTATCATAAAAAACAGGATGGAAAAAAATTTGATAGGAAAACAGAATGTGGCATTCTTAAAAGTAACTAATGAATTTTTAACCTTTCAAAAAAGCCATGACTATTCTGCTCACTTTGATAGTAAAAGAAATTTAAGAAACTAGAGGTAGACTACAAAACAAAACAGTATTATATAGCACTGGATATAGTTTCTTTAGGAAAGACGCAAATACCTGTTTGGTAGCATGTGTCAAGCATTTTCAAGTAGATTATCTCCATCTAATCCCAAAGTCCATTTCAAATCTAGACTTGTCTCAGGGGATACTTTGACTTAATATTCTCATTTTAATTATTTAAAATCTTTTAAGAATATTTAGTAAGGACCAAAACATGTTACACTGCAGTAAGACAAATAACTTTTAACTTTCCAATCAAAATAACCTAAAGGTGTAAAATCCTGCTCTTGAGAGCAAGCATGAGAGGTGGATCCCACATAATTTAAAGTCATTGTCAACCTATAACTGCTTACCATTCCAAGACACAGAGCTATATTCTTTTTTAGTGAAAAACATTTAAAATTTATGATCTTGTACATACAATTAGTTTAACTTCTATTGTCAAAATGTTTTCCTGCATCTAATCCATAGGATGTTTAAAAATTAATCCCATTTTATAATCTTCAAAGTAGAAGGCAAGGTCCATCCACATCCTTATAAATATTAAATCTTTAAAGAACACACGAGGCTACAGGAAATAGTTGCTAGTATATAAACATTAAAATAATAGATACTTAACAATATATGCCAGCATGTAACAGTACTTACTGCTCAGTAGTAAACCCTAAATACTTTTCAATAGAACCCTTCATTCAAAAGGGAATACCAAAAGATCTAAATGACAAGGAACAGAAATTCAACAAAGCTTGATGCTGGGGCAACTGAGGCTCCATGGGAATCTAATTTTACAATGATTATTATTCCATATGCCATTGCTAGTAGTGAATAGGCCAACAACGGGCTCAGGTAAACAGGAAAAGGGGTAAAGTCTCAAGAATTAAGTTCTTATATGTCATTTCTTACCCCTAAGTTGTGTTTTATTTTCAGGGAAAGAAAATAAGCACAAGAAAGTATCAGTTATGAAGAAATGAAATGCCGCTGCCTCTTATATTACAAGGAAATGAGAATTGTTTATTGAATGAAGAAGTCAGCTTCATTATGGAAATATTTATTAAAAATAAGATTGAGGGGGTAGAGAGATGGATCAATGGTTACTAGCTCCTCCCACTCTTGCAGAAGGTGGGAGTTGGAGTCCCAAAACCACATCAGGTGACTTCAAACCCCCTGAAACTCCAGCTCCACAGGATCAGAAGCCTCTATCCTTCGTGAGTCATGTGCACAGAAACACACCATTTAAACATTCTTAAATAGAATATTGAAAGTCAGAAAGATTCAATAATTTATATAGAGTCACAAGGAAATGGCAGGGTTGTGATTTAATTCAGGCCTTCTAGCTCCAGAACTCACAATCTAAATCATTATGCTAACCTGTCTTCAAGTTATTAAGACCAGAAAGGAAAAAAAAAAAAAAAAAAAGCATTCAGAAATTAAGATAGCAAACTGAGAGGAAATCTTTTTATTCTGATGCAAAAATAAAATATTAAAGAAAACAAGAAACAAGTAGGGGAAAGTGATTTTATTTTATTAATCATATGTTCCAAAACACTGTAGTTGAAAAATGTCACTAAAAGTTGCAAAAACAGAACTACTAAACACCAGCATAAGTACATAGTGAATACTTCAATTCCAGCTATATTAAGCTCATGTTAATACTTCCATAATGTATTTTTTTATAGTAAAAGAACTCAGGGTAAGTAATACTAGAGAACTATGGGATCCTGGATTCTGTGGCAGATGGGATATCCTCATGGAGTTACAAAAGGGGCCCTAGAAGATGAACCAAGGAAACAAGCAATCTAAAAGTAGACCATGTTAGTATGGGTTTTCAAAGTGTCATGAAGCTAACTCTGAGAACACCTTCAGATACAGCTCTCACACTTTAACGAATATCAGAGCACTGACCACAAGACTGTAAAGCTAGGAATGTAACTTGGTGGTGTGCTTTTAGTCATAACTCTGATCCGACTCTACTATATGCAAAACAAGGGAATGTCATGGTATGTGCCTTAACATCAAACAATGCACAGGAGTCAGAAAGCCTATAAACACCGAGACAGTCTCTTCAGTCTTTTTTGTTTTTGCTTTTTGAGCAGGTTTTCTCTGTGTAACAGTCCTGAAACTTTCTTTGTAAACCAAGCTAGCCTCAAACACACAATCAAGTCTTAAATCCCAATCCATATCTGATGGGGGAAATACTTCTGTGTATGTTTATAAATAAAGTACTTGCTTGGCCAATGAGACAGCAGGTTAGGCTGGACTAGGAGTCAAAGAGGATTCTGGGAAATGTAGTAGAGAAGTGGTGTTCCAGACAGGAAGTGACATAGCAAGGAGACTCATATTTAAGAAGAGGAAAAAGGAAGTGTTGCGCTCTTTCCCCTCGGCTCCTGCTCCAGCGGCAAGATGTGATCCACCAGCTAGGAGGGACGCCAATAAGGCGTCCGATAAGATAAGTCTTATAAAATATATAGATGTATGATGATTGATACTGAGCTAACAGATGAGAATCCTAGTCATTGGCCAAGCAGCATTGTAACTAATACAAGTCTCTCTGTGTATTCATTTGGGCCTAACTTGGGCAGGCGGCTGCCATAAAGCTTACACGTGGCGGTGGGGCTCAGCGGCTTTTGGCAGAAAGATTTATCGTAACACATATCAGAAAATTCATACTGAGTAAAGAATGATAAACATTTAAGGGTTGTGGAAAATCCTATAGCATTTTACATCTTAGTGAATAGCAGAGAATTCATACTGAAGATAAAGTGTTTTCAGTAGAAGTAGGAAAACAAAAACTACTGAACACCAGCATGGATATATAATGCATACATTAATTGTGACAATATTAAGTACCTCTTAATGTAATAGTTTCATACCAAGCTACCTCATATTGTGTTTAAAATATATAGGGAAGTGATATTACAGAAACTACAGAGTTTTGGCTTCTGTGGACAGATGTTGTAACCTTATAGAAGAGAGAAAAGGGAACTGGAAGGTAGAAAGAAAACCATCTGGAATGAATTAAAAAGTCCAAGGATTTCAGACAGTGTACACGAGGAACACCACTGATAAGAAATCCATTCAATGCAAAATAAATGAGAAAGTTTTAAGTGAGGACTTCCATAAGAAAATCTTTGAGTGTACTGAACATACAAGGCATCTAAACAACACAATGGAAACTGAAGATGGGTGCTTAGATGTGCCTTTCCAACCACTCTAAATAAAATAGCACCCATCTCCAAGTCACACTCGTCCCTTACACCCTGCTTAATGCTTTACAGTGTTATCACTATATATTCTTCCACCACTGAAAGCCCCATAATAGGAGGGCATTTACAAAGCAATATCCTCAGTGCCTAGGACAAGATATAGCATGTAGTAGGCACCAAACAACTGTTGAATGAATTGATTATAGGCTTAATTATTGTCCACATGTAGAGTATTTGGTATTTTGAGGTTACTTCATTCTAAATAAGAGAATTTACTCATCAAGATTAAATGAATACAAAATGTGTTGTTCTTTTATAATACCATGATAAAAAGTACTGCAACTACTTTAATTATGGTCTACAAATTCTTCCTCACTTGTTTGGGGAGGAGGGAGTAAATTATACAAAAAGCACCCAGGAATACCCTCATAATTGTACCAACTCGTGAGTCCACAAGGGTCTTAAAGGCAAAACTTGAAGCTCTCAGCTTCTAAAGACGAAGTCTTACTTTCTCAGGTTTAGTATCCAAGTCACACTTTACTCCTCTGAATAATACATATTCCTCCTTGCTGTATCAACCACTGGTAGAGAGGGCATGGCAGTTTGGAATGCAATAGCAGCAACCCTTCTGTGCAAAATTTGGCATTTCAAATCATGCCTCATTAATTCAAAAAATATTACTACCTACCATGCAATGAACAATATGTGCAAAGGTAAAATTTTAAGATATGGAGTTCATTCAGTAGTAAGGAAAATAATTACAACATGTTATACTGTGGTAACATGGGAAAGGAAGATAGGAAAAATAAGGGAGCATTTCATTTCTACTGGAAAGGGCTGAAAAAAGGTTTTGGACACTGTATTACTAAAGGTACATCATACAAGTAAAGTATTTATCTGGCCACAAAGAATGGCCTTGAAATAATAGTGTCTATAAAAATATTGAAGCTGTAAAATTTAAGTGCATTTGGGAAAGGTTCTGGAAGCACTTGATTAATTGATTATGACCCACTGAAGAAGTCTATGCTTCTAAAAATCACATTAAAGATTATTTAATTTTAGAAAGCTACGATATTTTCATAATAAAACTTGCTAAAATGCTAGGTTACATAAAAACCTTGGTTGTATAAAGACAGGCCAGGAGTTGTAGCAGGGATGGAAGAATCTCTCCTAGCTTCCATTGCTTATTCAGAATTTTGTTTATCAAAAAGGAGCCTGGGATTTTGATGTTTGAAAAACATTGGTCTAGAACACAAAACAGAATGTGTGTAGAAATAAGAATGGAAGAGTAGTAGGTCTTCTGTTTTCCTTCTTGAAAAAGTACAGAAAACTAAGGGGAAACAAAGCAGAGAAGATTTTCCATAGAAGATGAAAATTTGTTTGCCCATACCAAACTTAAAATTACTATGCACTCAGTATTTGACAAAATGAAGACACATAATAGGTAGTTAGAAATAAACTTCAGAGACCAAGGATACTGGAGTTCAGGTTCCTCAAATGGAAATCAGCCTGATATTTTAGCCATTACAAGCCAAATGGCTGTGAAGGATATTGCTTAACATGAGCATTTGGAGTAAGAAAAAAACAGAACTTTCACAAGGACAGGCAAAAAATGAGAAACAAAGGAAATGACCAAGTTTAGTCAACAGAAAATAGGCAGCCTATTTTTCTTTAAAACAGAAAAATGAGTAAACATTAGTTGATTCTCTCAGAATCTAAACTTCCTGTGACAGAGTAAGGGTAGAGGAGACTAATGAAATTTGACTACCACAGTGGAAAGGACAGGTACCTTAGTCACTTTCAGTTAAGGTTCTTCTAAGTGAAGCCACACACGTAGTAACACCCTTTAAAGGACTACATGCCTTTCATAGACCTTAGCCTCCTATGGATAAATGGCTGATGAAGGAGCTACTAACACAGTGCTGAGAGCCTGCTAAAGACAACACTAGCAGATAAGACAGAAGAGGAAGCAAGGGGGACAGTGATTCAGATGGTGCCCCTGAAGTGCAAAGGAAGCATGAAAGAGGCTCACTGCTCAAGATTTACGAAAACAGTCAAGAAAGAACCCTGTGAAAAGGATGGCAACTACACAGTGAAAATAGAGAAAAACCAAGAAAAATAAGGAAATTTTAAAAGATGAGAATTGTCATCAGTTAATTGAAAATTTAAGATTTTAGAAAGAGAAACTGAGTATGGCTGATGCCCAAGGTGCAGTAACAGAAATTCCTGGAATGTAAAGATGTCACTGGGACAGAAGTCTCATGCATCAGAAGGGATCATCATACAGACCATCCCAAGACAACAGGAGTTGAGGTAGGCAGAAAGACGGTGAGCAAGACAGCAAGCTAGGCTCTCTGACCATCAGCATTTCAATCCTAATAAAGGCAAAACATATGCAAAGATGTGCCCTAAAAACATCTAAATAATGACAGAATCATCTACACTGATTTTTACCTTCATACTGGAGGAACCATGCAGTTTTTGTTTTAAACAAAGTAAGAAAATAATTTATAAAATAGCTAAGTCCATAATTTAAGTATTATTAGTAATACAAGGCAAAATAAATACAATGATTCATTTTTTAAAATAGTTTGCTATTTAGCTTACTGGAAATGAAATCTAAATATTAGTTATAATCTTTTAATTGCCTACATTTATATTCATAGTATATATCTGAAACAAGGAGGAAAACTGATTTTCAACTTTGAAGTATGCATATATTTTACTACAATGAAAATATAACCTAAAGTAACTATCAATATACATTGGGTTCCTCCTTACCAGTGGCAGGATTATACGTAGTTCAAGTTCAGTTAGAATAACATATACGCCATTTTAGAAATTAGAGAATACTTTTTTTTACAGATTTAAGACTATACAATGGAAGGTGATAGCGTTAGAGAAAGGTAGCCACATTGGGCACCTTCATGTAGTGTAGTATTGTCAAGATCAGCGTAGTACATCTTCTTTTGTGACACCTTTTTTTCCTTGTGAGAACTAGGTGAACACCTAGCTACAGTGCTGCTCAAAGAAGCTCAAGATCTGCTTAGCATTCGTCGTATTCCACTCCTGTGCTTTCAGAGGTCCTTCACACACCGACACATACTTCTTCAAAATTTTTTCTCCTACTTCTCGGAAATCCAAAGGTTCTTTGTATGTGGTACAGCTTGCTCCAAAAACATCAGTATTGACTTCATGATTTTCTGACTGTCGATCTGTGCAATGCTTTAATCCCCAGTAGCACATTTCTCCACTGTACATCATAGCCAGTACATGAATATCACTAAATATTCCTGGGAAGGTCATCCATTTTGAAATTAGAATTAGGTTTATAGAAAGAAACATCAGCTGTTGAAAAGCTAATAAAGTCTTCACCAATAAACATTTTTCATACCATTTACTAATGCTCAGAAAAGTCCACTAGCACTAGCACAATCCTAACTTAATTAATCAACACTTCTGTCTCTTACCTAGAAATAAGTTCATCCCTCAAACAAAGCAGAGTATTGTCAAATATTTTTTTTAAAATAACAATTTAAGTGTTTGTAACATTTCTAAGACCTTTTCTTTTCTTTTTCTTTTTTGTTTAATTAATTTCACTGGTAAAACCCTTCTAGATTATACCCTAAATTCTGTATATAACTTCAGAACTCTCATAAATTCCCTGAATTACATCCATGAACACAAAGTTTATTTTGGAGGATGCTCTAGGATCAGTGATATAACTGTATTACTATGATATGTCCTATATTTGAGTCTACTAATAATCTCATGTATCACCATGTGTTTGATAGGCCATACAATTCTAAATTATCACTGATGCTAATGATATCCAAGATGCTTTGTATCACTAGGAAAAAACAATACCTAGGACTATTTCCATCAAAAGATGAATATTCCTTTAACATTATTCCCAGCAATTTTATAATTAAATATTTATGGTCAAAGCATATTAATTTGTTAGAAAGAGAAATTAGAATAAGAGATCTAGGTAGACCAGGAGTAGTAGGAACATTTATAATTCCAACAACCTTGGAGATGGACAGTATTACAGTTCCAGACCAGCCTGAAACAGAAGTTTCAGGCTAACCTAGGCCACAGGTAAAACCTTATCTCAATTAAAAAAAAGATAAGATAAAAAAAGTGATATTATTAAAACATAGGATCAACTTCTTAAGGTCACTTAGACAGAATAAATGACTTACTCTAACGTACAAGTACTTGTGTGATAAGCAAATTTACATCAAATTAATGATCATGATAGCCTCATCGTGCTGGTTTGAATAAGAATGGCCCTCAGAGGCTCATATATTTGAATACTTAGTTACCAGAGAGCTGCATTATTTAGAAGAATTAAAGGTATGGCCTGGTTGGAGTAGGTATGTCACTGGGGCGTTGAGGGTTCAAAAGCCCATGGCAAGCCCAGAGTCTCACTCTCTGCCAGACCCCATCTCTCTCTCTCTCTCTGCCTGCTACATGTCAATCAGGATGTAACTCTGGGTAACTTCTCCAGCACCACACCTGCCTGTCTGTCATCATGTTCCCATCATGATGAAAATGGCTCAAGCAAGCCCTCAATTAAATGCTTTCTTTCATAAGAGTTGCCCTGGTCATGATGTTTCTTCACAGCAATAGAACAATGACTAAGAAACTCACATAAAACAATTCAACAGAACTCTGCAGCAGAATACAAGTTTCTGCTGTTTTGAATGTACCAAAGTCACCAAATTTGTTCTTATAAGCTGTCATCTTCAAATTCTACCTAAAAATAGTGGCAAGTGAAGTAAGAGTTCAGCAGAATGGCTGACTCAATGAAGCACTGTATCAACAAAAAGTAGCTACTGAAGAGCAGAGCCTGGGGTTTGCCATACTACACTACATTTTCTATGTGTAAAGCCATTTCTACTTAGCTAGTACAATTAGCACATAAAAAACCCTAAATGTCTATCTCCTTTAAAACTTACTTCTAGTATGATATTAATAGCCCAAGTAGTTCTTTTCAAAACAAAAATAGGCAAAAGTAACATGATACATTAACAGTCCCAAATTAACTCCAGCTGTGCATCCTATTCTGTCCTCCATGTGTGCCCCACATATATGCACATATATTCACTCACACACAAACACATGAAAAAAAATAGACACAGACACACACACACACACACACACACACACACACACACACACACACACACAGACACACAAAGAGTTGTGCAACCACATCTAGCCAAAACTAAATATGTTTTAAATGTTTTTCTACATCATATCAAAATATTTTAGTCCTTGAATTCATTTTAAATCTAGTATGAAATTTAAATGAGTAAAGTTAGCAAGCTTTCTAAAATATTAAAACAAAATCTTCACTGAGGAAACTTTAACAAGAAATCACTTTACCTGTACTCAGTAACTTAGCTGTGTCTAGGTCTTGGAAAGAAACACCTTCATTTAACTGGATTGGGCATCGATGATTTAGCATCTGCAGCAAGTAATTGATCCCATCAACAAGATACTAAATAAAGAAGCCAAATAAATGAAAGCATTAAACACAGAACTATAAACAAGTTCTTTTTTGTCTCATTCTTTACTAAAGGATAAATGGACTGATATAGAGGTACATATAATTACTATTATATCCCAGTGGCATAAGGACTCACCAATCTGAGACTGTCCTAATATAAGTAAACCCCCCAAGTAATAAGAGTATGGAACAAGGAGAAAATATCAACCGCAAACACATGCTGCAGCAATGCACTTATTTAAAAATGTTACCAAAGGACAAATGCTGTAAAGATGAATTCAAAAGGAATATATATATATATATATATATATATATATATATATATAGAGA